CAAACAATTTTTTTTTGTTAAGGCACTAAAACCTCGTTACAACAAAATGAATGTGTCGGTGTGAACACCACTTTATCTGCACCAGTTTAACAAAATTTGTTTTTCTTTTTTTGGGAAATTCGTAAGACTCCCAATATCCGTTCAGTAATAGCTTTTCGGGTTTCTTTTGAAAAAAAATTTTATAAGTTGTAGTTCGTCTCTTTTTTTAAGGCCAAGGATAATGAATAATATATAGGAGTTTGATAATTCTTCTTTCTTCTCTTGATATATTAGTTACAATATCCTACTTTCTCCTACTGCTAGTGAAATATTCTACTTTCTGTGCATACTAATTTGTTAAGTAAGATGTTAAGTTATAGCTTAAATCCTTGTTAATACGGAGATTTTATACAATAAGTTAGAGTCTTGTTATTTTTCTTTCTCCTCTAAGCATTAATTGCAAAGAATGTCAATAAAAACTAATGATTTCTGTGTATATTAGTAAATTAGGTTATGCACTATAACCAGATTGGTAACAATTCCGACTTCACTTTTATTTGATCTACTTCTAGGAGTACTTACTAGGAGTTAAGTAGCACAAACTTTAAGATGGGACAGCTGCCCAGATTTCTTCAATCCGGACACAAGTAATACGTTGTTATGTCTTTTATTCTCATTCAAACACATGAAACAGAAAAAAATAACTTTTGTTAGAATATGTAGATTCTAAAAAGAGTCTTTATCTGTTTTAAATATTTTTTTCTAATATAATTATGTCAGAACAATTTTTAGTGGTACTACTTCCATTTAAAATACCATTAAAATTCCATTTGTAAAGTCTAGCATTCTGTGTGATATCCTATATGTATTAGGTTCGGACTAAATTGTAAATCCAACCTTGTTATCTAAATTTATGATGTGCTGTATAAATGGTTTCCAAGCACGGTCGGGTCTACGTCCAGGAGTCACTCGTCACCACTCGTCAACACCTCCCAAAGGGACTCCACAAGCAGGCCCCGGCGGGTTACAACAACAACAACATGTGCTGTATATATGGAGAGAGCTCTATTTTGTGATACTTTGGGACAATAAATTTATGGCTTAGTAAGTCTCTTGTGAGATATATTGGGTTTTATTAAGAATGCTTGAGTATTCCGATACAGTTTCTATTCTTCAAGACAGCTCTTTCGCTTTGACAGCACATTTAAAAACCGCTAAATTGATTAAAAGAAGATCAGGCAAATTGTATAGACTTTTAAAAAAGATGAAGTAATTTTAACTGTTTCCATAGGAGACGGAATCTTGTTTATTTATATACATATATATATTTGTCTTACCAGTTTTTTTAAGATTTCTATACAGTAAACTTTTAATTCATTTTAAACTATATATACAAATAATATATTAAATATGTAAAATTATTTACTCATCTTTAAATTATTTAATTAAAACTATCAGTATTTATTTAAAAAATAATCTTTATTTGTATATACTATTAATATATAATAAATTTATTTTCTTAATATACTAAAGTACATAATATGCGCGCATTATATTATTATTTATTTAATAACTAAAATAATATTAAATATATTTATAACTAACTAAACTTATGTCTAATATATAACTTTAAAAATAAATGTTTAAATTGGCACCTCACAGAACTTCTTATTGATTATATTTTTTAATAAAGAAAAATATAGTAGATAATAAAAATTATTATGAGGGTTAATAAAAAAATTTTCATTTTAACATTATTGTGGTTAAATTATTTTTAAAGCACTGTAGAGCTTCCTACATACTTTATGAAAAAATTATGTAAATATACAAAAATAATGAAATATTGACCCACTTTATTTTCAAAAAATCAAAAATTTTTTTAAAAAGTTCAAAATTTTTTTTAAACTATTTTCAGAAAAAATATTTATTTATAACTGAGTTTTTAATAAAAATATTTTTAATAAAAATTACTATAACAATATTATCTGTATGTGATAAAAGCTAAAAATTAAAATATTTTTATTCTCTCCTGTTTTAATCCAACATTTTTCCCAAATATGGATATTTATATAGAATTCCATATATGGGATAAACAAGCAATTCACACATTAATTTTTATTGCTTAATAAAAATAATTATTTCACAAGATAACATTTTATACATAAAAAACCTTAAATAAAAAAATATAACAATTTATTTTTAACATAAATACAGAACTTAAAAAAAAATTAAAATTTTAAAAAACACTAAATTTAATAAATAATATATACTTTCCAAATTTTTTTAATTTTAATATTAATTACTTAGCTTTGTTTTAAACTTGTTACAAAAAGAAAATATTGCAAAATACTTAATTGTTAAATTTAAGTTTGAAATATCTTAAAGTAAATAATAATTGTTTATTTTTAAATAATTAATAAAATATTTTATGTTAAATATATTCTCTTAATAATGCTTTATGTTATTTAAGAATGTCACATATTTTAAAGAATTAATCATTCTAAATTTTATTTTAAGAGTTTTTGTTAATTAATTCTAGTAAACTTTATTTTAAAGTTTTTTTTTGTAAATTTAATATTTATACTTTTATGATATTTACTATATATAATTTGCATTAAAATATATTTTAAAACTAGAAATTTATATTTATTATTTAGCATTATGTTGAATTTATATATTTCCGTAAATGTTTGCCATTATTATAAGCATGAGTTATGAGTTATAGAGCTTTATGGATTTATTTGTTTATAATAAAATAGAAAATCAACGAAGTACTGGCTCTCGGGAAGTAGAGCACTACAACCATGATTGATCTTTTCTGTTGTTTATCGCCGCTAACTAAAGAGAAGACAATCTGTCCTTTGTCAGAAAGTTGAAATGTTAGCTGTTGAGGAGACATTATTACTTCGAATGTGGATATTAGCTCTCCAACTAGCCATCTTCTCCTGATCCAGATATAAGCCGGATAACCACAAAGAATATGTCTAAGGGTATTATCTGCTTTTAATCAGAGATGGCATTCTGTTTTTTCAGACAAAATAATTATATGCCATACTATATACTATATATAGAAAAGGTAATGAATGCAGTAGTTATGTTTTGTGGCATATATATAATATATATATTATGTGTTTTTCTTCGTATATTGGATTTTTTGTGTAAAATTCCTTCGACTATAAAATAATTTTTTATTAAGAAAATATATATGCTATTAAATATATTTTTCGTTACTTCTTATAACTTTGGAAGTTTAAAAGTTAATATAGTAATAACAATCATATAATTTTTAAACGACGTTTTTTTATTTTAATAATTTAATTATATCGTTACTATTATTTATTTTAATAATATTCTTAAACTATGTTCAAAGATTAAAAATATACTCTGTGAATTTCTGTGATTTGTGTATATTACATTTCTATCAAAAAATTTAATTTTTTTTACTATAATTTTTATTAAGTTTATAATAAATTATTTTTGCAAGTATATTTTTAATAATATATATATTCTTAAATATATTTGTAACCAAGTTTGTAAATAAATTATAGGTCACCAAACAGTACCCTTTTTATGAAAAAATTTCATTCAAAATCAAATTTTATCTTTTGGATAAAAATATTTTATTATTCAAAATTCTATTTATTTATTAATAAATTATTTTAATATATTTAAAGAATGAAAAATTCTGCAGTAATTGTTATATGCAATTAAGGTTTTATAAGGTTTTTATTTTTCTTATTTTGTTTAAAAAAGTTTATTTGATATTTTTGTAAATCTTGATATCGACCTTAATCGTTTATATATTAAAGTTCAATTTCTTATATGGATTTATTTAAAATATAACTTCTCAATATTTTACTAGATAAATAGATTATTAAAAGGTCTTGAAATTAATTTTCTTTAATATATTCTAAACATAAAACACAGTATATTAAAATAATTTCTTTTTAAATATTTGTGTAATAAATCACAAAATATTATAAAATAAATGAAATTTTTTATGTTTTTATGTTGTTATTATAAATAAAAAATTTATCAACAATTAAACTCTCGCGAAATGCTTATGTATAAGGCACCACAAATAGTTTCTTTTTATTTATGTACTTTAAAATTTAATAAGTGTAATAAATTTTATTTAAGGTTTTTTAAATTCGAGCAGTGGGACTGCCGAAATATAAATAAACCAGATAATACTCATTAACCATTCACTTTTCTGTTTCCTTAACACAATTTCTTATCAATGTTATACGTAGAAGTCAACCTAATTCCATTTGCAAAATTCATTTATGCAATAATTTAATTTATCTAAAACTGCTGTTCACTTAAAACTGTGATAATCACTTTTACGTACATTTTGAATTAAAAAAAAAAAAAAATTTTTTAACTTAACTAAAAAAATGTATATATTCATGAAATTGTTGTATTTTGTATATTATGCTCTTATTTAATTTATATAATTATACAATTAATTTTAATCTTTTCTATTTGTTATAAATATTAATTATAACTAAAGTGTTGCTATGATATATTTTTATGCAGAAGAAACTATTTTGTATCTACTTACTTTTTAGATATTTCAGTAGCATTTATCATGGATTCAAAATAAAAAACGACTGTTTAAAAATAACTAATAAACATTCTTAATTATAAAATAACAAATTACAATTATAATAAAAACAAACTTAATAGACTCAACCCAACAATTATAAAATTTATTGGTTGCTAATAGTTTTTTTTTATCAGCTTAAGTTATTTCTTTAAGCGGGCTTCTAGGTTAGTAATGGTAAATCTATAAAATTGGGATCCACCTAGGTCAACCTATATTTTATAGCTTAAAATTTTTCATATATAATTTCATATATAATTATGTGCGCATTTATTATTAAAATTAATTTTTTTTTAAATATTTAAGAAAAAAATTTTAATGTTTAAATTTATTAATAATACTTACAAAAAAATTATTTAAGTTATATATTTATATTAAAATCTTTAATAACTACAAACTTACTTAAGAATAGTACACCATTTTGCAATATTTTCTTTTAAATCTTTAATGAAATATTAAGATAACCATAAAAACATTACAGCTTCTCGGAAGAAATTAATATTCTGTTTAAAACAAAACAAAGAAAAAAAATTAATAAATATTTATAATTAAAAATAAAAATTCTTCAAAAAAAAATTAAAATATTAAAATTTAAAATAGATATATAAAGATAAAAAATAATAAAAAAAAAAGAAAATTAAAAAAACAGAAGTTTATTTTAAATTAAATAAAAAATAAGAAAATAAAAATACACAAATATAAAAATAAAAATTAAAATTAATAAAAAATAATTAAAAAAATTTGTTGAAAATCAAATAAAAATCAAAGAAATATATCAAAGAAATTTAATTAATAAGAATTAATAAAATAATAGAAATTCAAAAGAATACACTTTATGACAAAAAATATGTTTAAAATGATTTTATTAAAAATGTGTTTAATTTTTAAATATATTAACAAACAAAGAAAAAAATAAAAATTATAAATATATTAATATTTTTGCATAAATTGTCTTACATTAAATTTACGTACAGCCAAATTTCGTTCTTACCAAAAATAAAACATTTTATAGTTTTAGTCCTAAAAATAGTTAACAAGTTACGCGTACAACTATAACACAATATATCTTCCTGAATTTCGATGGCAGTGTTTTTTATGCACCTCTTCATGCTAAACCACAATTTCATTATTATTCTAATTTACAGGCGACACAGTTTGTCCAAATTTTCTTGTTCGTGAACCGAAACCCTTGCTGCCGTCCGGGCCAATAGGTGTGCGTACTAAGTTTTCTGCATTACGTTGTGCAAATGAACCGGAACGAGAACGTGGTGAACCATCCAAAAAACTACCAGTACGTGAACGTGGTTGTCCATCGAAATCATTGCTATGCTTATAATTATTCAAAAAACTACCAGTACGCGAACGTGGAGAGCCTTCGTACTCCGAACCAAAAGAGTAACGTCGATCGTAACCAGAATCGGTAGATATACGTCTGCCGTTTATGTATTGTGCATTATCATAGGCAGCTAATTTGTTGTTAATATTAAAGTTGTTAGAATAACGACGTGGAAAGATCATATAGCCACCACCACCACCTCCAACATTTCCATCATTTTCATATGGCAATCCAGTATGTGTTTCCAAAGATTGCTTACGCTCATAATTATAATCGTTAGACATTCGACGTGGATACATATTATTATTTCCATTATTGGCGTGCTCACTTGCGTTCGAATACGAGCGCTCAAATTGTATGGAGCTATTAGAGAAACGACGTTCAAGGCTACCAATAGAACTTTGTGATGTTTTTCGTTGTAGCTCAGATGGTGCAAAATCAGATACGCGACGTCCACAAGGACAGCTTTCAGAGCAATCAGAATCCCGTCTTTGCGGTTGATTTTCCGAACAATTTGATGGGCGACGTGAACTGTCACTAGTATGTTGAAAGTGTTCAGAACCATTTGATAGGCGTCGGGCAATTGTGCTGCCATTATTAGCATTGATAATGTTGTTGTTGTTGTTGTGGTTACTATTAGTAGGCGCTGTTGAAGCATTATTTTCACCTAAAGCAGCTGTATTGGCAGATATAGTTGAAGTATTGCTGTAGCGCCGTGGCGCATAAGAAAAAAAATTCATGTTGCCACTAGGTGAGGAAGCAGCATGATGTGTCTGCTGATGAGCTGACTCATGATGTATACTGCCGCGTGGTTGATAATGTTGGTAGTGATGTGCATGATCATTGCTAAAACTTCCACGATGCGTGGGACTTTGTTGGCGTTGTTGTGGATTTTTATAGTAGTGTTGATTATGGTTGTGATAGGCATCACTGGCTGTTTTTGGATTGAAATCCGAGTTATTACGTTTGAGCTTGAAACGCATATCGGCACCGTCGTGAGCTAATATTCCACTAAAACTGCCACCACGTGTTCTCTCGTAATTCATATCATTATAATAGCGATAATTTTCAACCATGCGAGCCACAGGTGCTGCAATCTGTATAACTGCCTTCTTACCAGTTTTCTTCTTCGGTGCTACCATTTCATAAACCTGGAATGGCCCTTCCAAATGTTTAGCATCACGTGCTGATGATGATTCCAAATATTCAACAAGTGCACATTCTTTTTGTTGCATTTCTGGATATTTATTCATAAACTGCCTTACATCGACCGGTATGGCCATACCTGGTTTTAAAATACGTATGAGTGCAATTTCGCCACATTTTGAGAAAATATCTGAAACTTTTTCTATGGTCAATTTATCGAGCGGCAAATCGCAAGCAACAATAGTACGCGATGGCATCGTTTCATCGAAATTTGGCAACGGTTCAAGGCGACGCACTTTGGTGCCCAAATCATTGAGTTCTATTTTATTTGATTTGCGACGCACAGCATTGCCAACAACCTTCCACTCTTTGGTCAACTGACGCACGCGTTTGAAACTCGACACTAATTTTAAACTAACAAATCCTTCCTTATTGCGACGAACATGCTTGAGCAGGAAGGCATCTTTCAATATGCTATCATTGGAGAAGTAAAACTCAACAGCATCAGTGATTTCAGCAGCCAATTCATCGCTTGGTATCAATGTTGGATCCAATGTATCGATTTCGTTGACTGGTGTATGTTCACCAGTTGGTTCAGTGTTACTGGAAGCAGTGCTTTGCGAAACTATGGAATTAGCTTTCTCCACATCAATTTGTAAAGCTGTTGGCTTTTTCATTGTAAGGAATGAACGATGCACACGCTTTGGCTCGATTGTAGGAGTAGTGTTAGTGCCAACACTAGTGGTTGTGATTGTTGTCTCATCATTGAGAGGATTGGTGTTATCTTTATTGTTGTTTTCAAGTTCATGTTTAAAATTGGGATGCAAATAAATGTTGTCCATTTGGAAATAGTTACTTGGATGTTGTTGATGTTGATGTTTATGGAATTTCTCCAAATTAGCTTCGCTCAAAACAGCTGGTGCAAGTTCATGAGTTGGTGATGTACGTACTTCACGTGGTGGAGAACTAAGATCAACGTCATATAGCATATGATTATCAACAGCCAAAGGTTTAAGTTCGTCATCTTCTTCAGATTCTTCGGAGCCTTCTATAGATGAACCCATACCAACATCTATAAATTCTACTGGTGATGAGTTTGGTGGTGGTGGTGACATTGCCGGTGCTGTAGGTGACATTGACAGAGTCGGAGAAGGTGTAATGCGTTCATCTAGCTGTTCATTACCTTCTAAACTACTAATTGTAGCACCTTCTTCACTACCACAAAATTGAGAATCCAGCGATTGCGATTGCGATTGTTCAATTTGATGTAATAATGCCTGAGCGGAACGTTTGGCATGAAATCGCAAAAGCTTTGATGGCAAGGACGATGATAGTGGCACAATAGCATTTATCGGATTTGTTTCAGGTAATTCGGTTTCTGGTAATGCGCTGGCTTGCTGAGCTATTGTTGTATATTCTGGCAAACGTGGATTAATTGGTACTGGAGTTAATTGCTGAGTTGCACTGATGTCAGTTTTGGTGATCGTTTCAGTGACCACAGTTGTTACAAGAAATGTATGACCACCGTTAACATGTTGTGCTCGAACCTCCTTACATTGTGGTAGTGCCATAATGTCGTTAGGGGTTGGAGTTGGATTAGTTGTTGAAGTAGTTTCAGTATTGTCACTCATTATAACGCTTGGAAGTTGAAAGAAATTTTTTAAATTATTTAATATAATAATACTCTATTGAAGTGATAGGAGTTTATTGTTTATTGTCTCTGACTTTATAATTATTAACTCTGTTTAATATAATTAAAGAATCCTTTTTTGTTTAATATTATTAAAGTTTATTGAAGTGCTAGGTGTTTGTTATCTTTGACTTTAAATGTATTGACTCAGTTGTTCTGGAATATTTTTATACTATTATATATTGTACACTTCAACTTAAAAGATTTTTATAATTGACGCTTAATGATGGCTGGCAAATGGTTTTCTTGCACTATTTGCACTCTTTTTTATATTTAATTATAACGAAATAGGAATTTATAAAAGCCTCGCACTCCACCAAAGCGTTGTTATTATATTATATTTTTGAACTCTTTTTTATGTTTTTTTAAATTTATTTTAATACTTTTGAGATTTTATTGTGATGTTGTAATTTATGCTGATTTGTTAACGTTTGCAGTACGTTAACTTCACTTTCACTTTCAATTTCAAGTGCGCGCCTTAGCAGCTCCACTCACCAATCACATTGAGTTGATCTTACTGGTTCGTGTGGATGATGAAGCAACCGCAGACATTGGCAGACAGTCAGGCAAAGTTGAGGTAAGAAATCAGCCAGCAAAATCGCTGATAGTGTGGATGTTCTTTGAGCGCTCTGGTAATCTGGAGTTCACTGAAACACTTTAAAGACAATTTGAAGCCAGCAATTTTAATGATTCCGCCTGCTGTTGCTATTAACTGGCGCAGTGTGGCTTGTACCGTTTTTGCTGTTTTACGATTCCGATCACTCCACACATTTGGAATTGGAAGTGGAAGTGTTTGATGAGGTAAGCAATTTTTCAGCTGTTTTCGAGTGATTTTGTAATGTTTTCCGATTTTTATATTTTTTTTATTGAAGTTGCTTATTTAAGTTGCGTTTTGTTTTGTATTTTTGTATTTATTGTTGTTTTTTATTATTGTTAATAACTTGGCTAAGTGAACGTGTTTTGAATTGCAATATGAATTTGTTTTTAATTTTTCACATAATTTTATTTTTATTTTAACTTTAACTTTTGTTTTTTTTATAAATATTTTTATTTTAATTTTTCTTTTTTCTTTTTGTTTTCATACAGTCATTTTAATAGTTAAACGGTTTTTTCTAGGCCGCTCACACGCACCCGCTTGACACTATTAGATAATACCAGTGACTAGTAACAATTTGTTTTTGTTGTTGAATTGTTGAAGAATGTATAAAATATTTATTTTTGGGCAAAAGGAATTACAATATAAGGAAATAGATAGATAATATTTTACTTTTAATGTTGAACACGTAATTTGGATTCACATTTCATTTCAATTAAAGTTTATTAAATCAAACTAATTCCGTAATTCCGTTTATTTATATTGAAACCAAGCAACTTTTATAGTTAGGCACCAAAAAAAAAATATAAATTCAAGTTCAAATTTTTAATTAATTTTAATATTTATTTTTAACTTTTTTTAATATTTTTAAAAAATATTTTTTTAAAAAATAAATTTGATTAATTATTAAAATATTTTAGATTCTTTTTTATAGCTCTTGCAACGCTGCAACACGGAGATAGACTGAAATTGCAAAGTGATTTGAGGTTGGTTAAATACCCTCTGCTTTCGGTTGATTCGAATTTTGTGTTTGCTCTGCACTGTTTTTGTTTTTGGTTGCCGCCTAAGGAGATATGCAAACGCTTGCTTGCTTTGTAAGCGCAAACATTTGTTACATTTTTGTATTTGATTCGGACGTGTTTTTGTTTTTGCACAAAACTTGTTGTTGTTTTAATTGAAGTAAACGCACACAAATTACTCTAATGTTCTGAGTAGTAAAAAGTAAAAAACCACTACTGCAAGCACAACAACAACAACTATACACTGAGGGTTGTTAACTGTTTCCGATATTGGCAATAAAAATTTGCTTTTGTTGTTTTCGTTGTTTTTGTTTTTGTGGAGATTTATTTCGTGTAATGTTGTTGTTCTGCATGCAATGAAAAAGCTTTTGCCTGCAATGCGTGAGTAATTCAGTTTTTTTTTTTCATTTGAGCTTTTTTGCACGTGCATTGTATTTGTTGTTGGCTGCTCTCTTTTGCTCTCGTTGCGTTTCGGTGATCGGTGTTTTTATTAAATAAAAAAGTTTGATTTTTATTTTATTTAATTTTATAGGAAAATAAATGAAAATTGTAGACGTTTTTATGTAATTTACACACTAAAAACCTTGGCAGCCAATCTAACGCACTGATTACTTGTCTGTTTTTTATTTGCAATTTGTTTCACACATTATATTAACATTATTAATATTAAACAAATCATTTTCAACTAGAATTTTTGTTTATACTCACTTACTGTCATTTCAGTTGCACTTGAAGTTTGACCTATGCATTTCACATACTAATCAAAATTTATCCGGTTCCGGTATTATTAATATTACGAGTACATTACTTGCTCGAAATAATAATTGAAGAGAGTAGAGAAGTTTTAAATTTATGTTAATTTTAAATTAATTAAAAAAAAAACAAATTATAAAATTAATATTATAATAATATCATAAAATTAATATTAATATTAATATTAAATTAATTTTAATAATAAATTATAGTGAAATAGTTATAGTAATAATAAAAGTAAAATATTAATATTAACATTAATTTAATAATAAAATTTCAAATTATTATTATAGTAATATTATAATATGTATTAATATTATAATAAATATTGTACATATGTATATACAATTAACATTATTATTATATCATAATATTAATTAAATTAATAATAATATTAAATTAATTTTAATATTAAATTATAGTAAAATTGTTGTAGTAATAATAAAAGTAAAATATATTATAAATATTATATATGTATATGAAATATATTAATATTATAATTTTTTTTGGAGTTAATTTAAAATTAACATAAATTTAAAACTCCTCTACTATCTTCAATTATTATTTCGAGCAGGTAATATATTCGTAATATTAATAATAATATTAATAATATTAATATTAATATTGAATTAATTTTAATAATAAATTATTAAATTGTTATTGTAATAATAGCAAAATATTAATATTAACATTAATTTAATAATAAATTATTAAATCATTATTATAATAATAATTTTACCATTTTTTTTGACTTAATTTAAAATTAAATTAAATTTAAAACTTCTCTACTCTCTTCAATTATTATTACGAGCAAGTTATGTACTCGTAATATTAATAAAATTAATATTAATATATTAAAATTAATAAAATTATTAATAAATTTTAATAATAGATTATTAAATTGTTATTGTAATAATAGTAAAATATTAATATTAACATTAATTTAATAATAAATTATTAAATTATTATTATAATAATGTTATAATATTAATATTAATGTTATTTTAATAATAAAATGTTTGATTATTATTATAAAAATGTTATAGTATTAATATTATAATAAATATCATACATGGATTAGGTACATAATAATACATATATACAGTATATTATAAATGTAATATATAGCATATTATTAAAAATATTATATGACAATTTTGATAGACATTTGAAATCTTAAAGCAGTACACATAAGAACCCACCAGATATAGCTTTACCACGAATAAATAATATAAGATTTTGGTTACTACACCCATCTTTAACTCTTCTTCTTATAGAGAAAATAGTTGAAAATGGAGCTGTAACAGAATGAACTGTTTATCGTCCCCTGATACCAATAACACTTAACATCGGAATACTGGAATACTGAATGCTGTCGTTATACCTCAATTAAGCCAGACTGTTTTAAAAACAAATTTGGTTTTATATTAAAATTAATTTACTGAACTTTCAATTAAGAGGGTAAGACATTTTGCTTTGCATTGTTAGCTGAAATAGACTAATCTAAGGTTATTGATGTTACGAATATAACAGAATTTCATTTTAAAAGGAAATCTTATAAAACTGTTACAGAGTTAGTGAATAGTTCACATTTATATAAATTTGCTGCTTTTTACGATTAAAGCCAATGGACACTCGGCTAACATTTTTGAAATTTTAAAATATATTCTTGCAATATTGATTTATTATTGCATTTAAATTTTGTTAAATGTACATTTTTGTAGTTAGGCTTGTTTATTCTTAGCATGACTAACGTAAGTTCTTGCAGTTTTCTAATTATTTTCTAACAAGGCGTTTTGAATCCAATTACAACCTTGACGTAACCGCATTACATATTCTTTTTACGTAAAAGAATAATCGTTTGGCTTATTTGAGGAAATTATGAATAGAATGTATGTTTCTTAAAAATCAATCTTCTGCATTTTATAATATGTATAGTTTCCAAACCACATTATAACATATTAGACAAAATATAAGGTCTTCTCATTTAATCAAAATTTTGCATTTGTTTGAGTTTCAATTCGCCAGCAATTGTCGAACAATTGAAATAAAATAATTGAATTTGCCAAAAATATATTTAAAAAAAAAAAGAAAAAACAATTGTACAAAAACCTATTGAAAATAAAATTGATATTTAAATAGCATTAACCTTGCAACTAAAGACACAGTAACATACTGACAAGAAATTACAGAAAAAAGCATTTAAATTATATTGTATCTCATTGATACGATACGAAAAAAAAAATACATATACTATATATATTGTATAGCATGAGCTGCTGCTGCTGCTATAAAAGGCGTGTCAATCACAATTCATTCAAGTTAAATTACAAATAAAATTTTAAGATTTCAAGATGCAAACCGAGAAGGAAGTAGAATTTAACAAATAAAATCTTGAGGCAGGTTCGCGGTTAATCAAAAATATACGAAAAACAATAAAAATAAATAGACAATTAATAACACTGCGGTGCGCACTTCTCTGCACAATATAAATATAATAGGATATCTACATATATATATTTATTTAAAACATTATTTTAACCACAACTGCTTGGAGGGAAAAAACTCAACAAACACACAATTAAAATTGCAAATCTAACGTAACCAACGCACAAAATTCAGTTATATTAATTGTATCTTTTATCTCAACAAAATCTA